ACACACAATCCGCGGACTCTGGCAAGGGTTTCGTAAGTAGGTTTTATTAAACGGATAAGACGGCTGATTGATAAGTAAGACATGGTAAGTGCTAAGGTTATAGGGAAAAGGCACTGGCCTCGCCCGAGGGAAGGGGAACACAAGCCCGCCCGCCGCGGGCCACCGCCCTGGGGCCGACCCTCCGCGCCGCGGCCCCGCGGACCACGACGCGGCCCCGCGGCCGACTCCCACCCCGCCCAGCGCGCGACACGACCACGGCGGGCAGGGGGCCGGGACGCCGGCAACCGCGCTCCCGGGCCCAAGGGCGACCGCCGCGCCGGCCCCGCGGGCCGCTCGCTCGCACTCACCTTCCCGGGCTCCATCGCGACGCGCGGGCCCGCGTCCCCGGCTCCTAGCAACGGGCCGGCGCGAGCCGCTGAGCGCCCAACGACCGCTGTCCCGCCATGCCGTGCGGCTGCCCCCGGCGCGTCCGGCCTCTCCCCGCTCCTAGCAACTGGCAGGCATGAGCAGAAGAGCGCCGAGCCACCGCTGTCCCAGAATACCCCGCGGCCGTCCCCAGCGCGCCTGCGCACCCCTGGCTCCTAGCAACCCACAGGCAGAAGCAACAGAGGGCCGAGCCATTGCTGGCCCGGGTAACCAATCCCCCAATACCCACAACGCACCACCGTCACCGTCCCCCCCACTCGGTGGGGCGGAAAGGGACGCAGCGCGGTCCTGGTCTCCAGCCCGGTCGGCGTTCGATTGGGTGGGGGCGCGGGCCTCGGTGCGGGAACTAAGCTGGGCTGGCCCTCCGGCCTGGCTGGGAGGACCGGAGCTGCGAGCGTCACCGGACATCTGGAGCTACGACGAGGAAACTGAGGCATGCCGCTGAGCTGACTGCTGCTTAAGCGGCGAAACTCCAATTCCTGGGTGCCTGGTACCGCCAGGTACTTGGAGGGCGTCGTACTCAGGTCCCGAGGCAGCATCAGGAAGCCATCTTACGCCCCGCCTCTTCGAGGCAAGAACATTAAGCACCCCAAAACTCGACTTAGCAAAGAGACAGTGGATTAGAAGAGCTTTCACCTGTATATGGCTTTGCACCTTAGAATTCCTTTTCCCATATATGTCACTGGATAATACACACCCTGTAAGATACTGGGAATCAAAGTATTTGAAAATGTAATTGTTGAAAGACTGATTTTTTTATATGAGACAAGAGACAAGAGTACTGAAACATTAAGACAGATATTCTGCATCTCAGATTTATTTTATCAGAATTATTTTATTTGAAGCTTAATATAAAAGTCCATATTAAATATGCAAGACTGAAGAGGGGTGGTCCTATTCCAGTAATGCACGTTATAACTGATGTTTAGCTATGTTTCCACAAACTGTTTTGCATTTGTTTAGTATGCAAATGTTACTAAGAAAAGATTCCCCTTAATATTTCATGCACACAAAAAGAGAGCAGACTCTCAAATCATGTGTTAAGGAGTACATCTGTGAGCATGTTATTAATAGCCTGTGCTTTTCATAGCATGTTTTCCTGGAGATACAAAATTTATTTTGCAGATGTTGTGTTTTTGAATCACACACTATTATGAACCAGTTTACAGTTTTATGGATCTGTCTACTTTGTTCCAGACAAAGGCCATTTACCTAGCTTCTTGCCTTAGAGAAATTAATAGCAGATCCAAAAAGCCTTTTATATTTAATTGTACTCTGGTCCTGGGCATATCACTACTATCTTTCATTCTCACTCATTAACCCTTTAGGAAGAACATAACAGAAAAGGAAGGTAGGAAAGGCAGTTTCAGTGAGAGCTGTGATATATTGAGGAATTGCTCCAAGTGAGGCACCAAACTCAAACTTTCCATTGGGCCATTCACTCAATTCTTGTGGCATCCCTGTGAGGTGGACCTGTTACTGTTTTTCAGATGAGGACACTGAAGGCCAGAGAGGTTAATTCACTTGCCTAAACTCACAAAACCAGGCTGATGGATGGTCTGATGCCAGAGTCCATGCTTTTAAGCACTATGTCACTCTTTGTCAACCAAGAAAACAGCTGATTCTGGAAAAGCTTCAAACTCTGTTGAATATGAGGAGAAAGTCATGCATACCGCGTTACTGACTTGGGTCTCAAGTGCCACCAGACTCCTTTCAACATAATCATGTGTTGACTCTGCTTCTCATTTCCACTGCCATCCTTCATCAGCAAACAGCATGACTTCGAGCTCCCCACATGCACCATAGTCACAGGCTTGGTGAATGCTGTCTCCTCGTGCTCACTATTTCCAGCACAACTGCTGAATAAATGGCTATGGAGGAAGCTAAAACAGCCTTTCTCTCCTCGGACTTCCTAAAACAACCATTTTCTAAATAACTCCTTTGATGAGCAGTTCCATTTTGTCTTGTAATATTTCTTTTATTGTGTTCATTCATATAGTAGTTGCCTTCCTAAGTTCATTTGATGACCTGGGAAGTGACAGAGGGCTAGAGATAGAAAGCTACATTAACACTCTCTGGACCTCTAGTAGCTCATGACTGCTAGGACAGAGAAACAGGCAAACAGCTGCTAAATAACATGAACCTGTGAGAGCGGTGAGTGAGGAGGTGACAGACGGCTGTCTGGAAGAAAGAACTGAGGTTGGGAAGGACACATAATTTCGCAGACGAGAGGCTGGGAAAGAACATCTTGAGTCCAAGCCCTGAGAGGAGGCTTTGGAGGGTTCCAGGAAATATGATTGTCCCTGGAACTGTGCTGTAGAAGAAAGCATATAGAACTATAATCCAAGCCACATAGATCATTATAAATTACGTAGTAGCCACACTTTAAAAAGTACAAAGAAACAGATGAAATCAAATTTAATAATGTATTTAGTGGGGCGCCTGGGTGGTTCGGTTGTTGGGCGTCTGCCTTTGGCTCGGGTCATGATCCCGGGGTCCTGGGATCGAGCCCCGCATCGGGCTCCCTGTTTGGCGAGAGGCCTGCTTCTCCCTCTCCCACTCCCCCGCTTGTGTTCCCTCTCTCGCTGGGTCTCTCTCTGTCAAATAAATAAATAAGGTCTTTAAAAAAAATAATAATGTATTTAGCCACATACATATTATCATTTTATCATATAATGTATATTTAAAATGTTGCGTTATTTTACATTTTTCTTACACTGTCTTCAAAATCCAGTGTGTGTTTTATATTTACAGCACACCTCAGTTCAGACTGGCCACATTTCACGTGCTCAAAGCCCCATGTGGCAAGTGGCCTCTGTGTGGAGCCAAGCAGGTGTCCAGCACAGAGTATGTGAGTGGAGGTGGCAGGGGGCACATGGAGTGGCATGAGATGGTCAGAGAGGAGGCTGGAAAGGGGGGCACGGCCAGTCAGTGAAGGACCTCGAAATGGCATGATGCAAAGATTTAAAGCATTGTTGGGCAATGCTAAGCCGTTAAAATGGGAAGAGAATACTGTTTGCAGACTGAAGGACAGGTAGGTTGGAGACAAATGGGAGCCAACAGTGGGGGCTTCATGGGGCTTTGCAGCCATTGTGCAGCCTATTCCTCTGCCCCTTCCCCAAGCTAGCTTTGCTCTAGACCCCCGGAGACTTAGCTGCAACACGTCTGCACAGACCCTCCCCTGCTCACATCATTTGGTCCCACTGGTTTGTTAAAGTTCTCCTATGTCCTCTTTTCTAGAATTTAAACATGTCTGTCCATCTCCCTCACTGGACTGTAAACCAGCTTATAATTCCAGGTTATGATAAAAACAGAACCTTTTTTCACAGTAATAAGCAAATCTGTCACAAAAGTCAAGAACTTTCCTTTCCCAGCCTCTTTGGTTTCCGAGATCAGGTAAATTGGTGTCCCTCTAATGCCTGTGTACATGGATATGATAGAAAACCTACCTGTAGGTTTAACGAACTAACGTGCTAGTGAGAAGTCAGATCAGCCTCTCACTGGCTGTATGAACGTAGGAAGTTTGTTTTACTACCTTGTGCTTCAGTTAGCTCTTCAGTAAAATGGGAATTATAAGGTACCTATTCTGTAGAGCAGTCATGAGGATTACATGAGTAATTATGTGAAGTACCCAGAACAGCGCCTATCGCAAACTAAGCACACAGTAAGTTATTAACAAGTTTATTACTGTTATTATAGATTAGCACCTAAGTTATAAATATCTAGGACAGATGAAAATAGGTGGGATACCAAAATTAGAGCCTGCCTTTATCAATTTATAAATTATCTGCTACTGTATGAAACCATAATTGGAGCACTTCCATCAGTGAGGAGATTGTGGTAGGCAGAACTCTGGCCCTGATAGTCCTGCCCCTGGTACCCACTCTCTTGTTGAACACTCTCTCCTTGAGTGTGAGCAAAACCTGTGAATGTGATGGGATCCACTCCCGTGGTCAGGTTACTGAGGAGTTGACTAAATTGATCAAAAGGGGGGCGCCTGGGTGGCTCAGTTGGTTAAGCGACTGCCTTCGGCTCAGGTCATGATCCTGGGGTCCCGGGATCGAGTCCCGCATCGGGCTCCCTGCTCAGCAGGGAGTCTGCTTCTCCCTCTGACCCTCTTCCCTCTTGTGCTCTCTATCTCTCATTCTCTCTCTCTCAAATAAATAAATAAAATCTTTAAAAAAAATAAAAAAAATAAATTGGTCAAAAGGGAGATAATCCTGGTTGGCCCTGACTTTCCAAGGAAGGTGATACATCTGAGAGAAAATCCTGTCCTGGAAGAAGATGAAGCAAACTGCCATGCCAGGAGGAGATGAAGGAGGAGGCACATGGAAGGAACAGAGGGTGACCCCGGGCTGTCAGCCAGCAGAAATTAGGGACTTAAGCCCTAGAGCTGCAGTGAACTGAATTCTGCCAACACCCTGAATGAACTTGGGAGGGGATCTCAGATGAAGGTCTCCAGAGGAGACCACAGCTCAGGCAACAAGCCAACACTTGGTTTCACCTAATGAGACCTGAGCAGAGGACTTAATGAAGCCATGCAAATATCATCTTCAATAACGATAAAAACTGGAATGGGGCTTGTGACTTTGATAGATGGCTTCAGTTGGGTGCTCTAACATGTACCACCTAATGCAGACTCCCCTCCCCAAGAACATCAGGGCTCCCCCTCACATGCACAGAGCTGCCTCTGGGGCTCCTGAGGGCTGAGCTGTATTCAGCAGATAAGTGTAGTCATGGAGACAAGCATAAGGTATAGACAGGATTAACTTGAGGAAGGAAATATCACAAAAGGCTTCGCAGAAATGGAGATATACAAATTGCTTTTGAAAGATGAATAGGAGGGGCGCCTGGGTGGCTCAGTCGCTAAGCATCTGCCTTCGGCTCGGGTCATGATCCCAGGGTCCTGGGATCCAGCCCCGCATCCAGCCCCGCATCGGGCTCCCCGCTCGGCGGGAAGCCTGCTTCTCCCTCTCCCACTCCCCCTGCTTGTGTTCCCTCTCTCGCTGTGTCTCTCTCTGTCAAAAAAATAAATAATCTTTAAAAAAAAAAAGATGAATAGGAGTTTTACATAAGGATAGAGGGAGAAGGGTAGTCCAGACACAGAGAAGACCCGGTGCAAGGGCACAGACAGGTAACAGTAGGGTTTGGGAGGGATGAGCAGCAGAGCAGACCCTAGATGGGGAGGTGAGGCGGGAGGTAGGATCAAATGTGGACAAGCTCTGTATGTCATGCAGAGGAGCTGTAAGTTCACATTAGAAGCAAAGGATATATAAACAGGGAAGAGATTCAATCAAATCTGCATTTTGAATTCGCCATTTGATAGAAATATGGACTTTTAAAAATGACTTTTGGGGCACCTGGGTGGCTCAGTTGGTTGGGCGACTGCCTTCGGCTCGGGTCATGATCCTGGAGTCCCGGGATCGAGTCCCACATCGGGCTCCCTGCTCGGCGGGGAGCCTGCTTCTCCCTCTGACCCTCCCTCCTCTCATGTGCTCTCTCTCTCTCTCTCATTCTCTCTCTCAAATAAATAAATAAATAAATAAATAATCTTTTAAAAAAATGACTTTTGGATTAATTTCAAACTTAGAGAAAATATGGAAGTACAAAGCACCCCGTCTCCATTGCCCAGATTCCCACCATGAACCTCCCAGCACGTTTGCTCCTCTTGTCTGTCATCCAGCATTCATCTGTCTACACATACACTTACCCATTATCGTTAGACTTGTTCTGAGTCATTTGACAAAGAACTTCAGATAGGATTACTCATCAATCCAAAATACTCCAGTGTTTGTCTTCCCAAAACAAGGACAGACTCTGCTCCACAGCCTCCCAGTCAGGAAGTCAACATGGTTACAGGTCTGCTGTCCGATCCAAAGACCCCCTTGTTCCACCGACTATCCCAAAAACACTTCTTTTCCCTCACAGCCCAGATCCCACGAGGAACACACGTCGCATGTAGTTGTGTCTCTTCAATCTCTTGTGATCTGGAATTTTAATTCCTCAGTAAGAACAGAGGGGACCCTAACCTGCAGCAGCCCCCTGAGTCCCTAGGCCATACTCGAGTCAGGCTTTCGCAAGCTCTCTGGCAAAATGCCCCAGGAAGGCTGCTGTACTCCTCTTTCCCTTTGTAATTGATAAGTATCTGGTAGAAAGTTTCCAGTATTATTCCTCATCAAACTTCCACCTACTGCCCTTAGCCTTCATTGATAACTTGCTCTTGCACTACTGTGACGGCTAACTGGTGATTTTCCATTTCTGTGACTCCATTGATTTATTTTCTGTGCATTCCTCACTCGCTCATGCATCTACATCAGAATGGACTCATGGGTTCCTATTTTACTCCCTGGCTTGTAATCTGCCAATGTCATCCTTGATTTTGCTGCTCAGATAGTCCCAGATTTAATCAGCAAGAGCCCTTCAAGTTGCCTCCCATGTCCTTTGACAGCACATGATTCTTTGAGCATTTTCTTACCTCCTGGCACAACAGAATATTCCAGGCTCATCTTGTACTTTCACTGCTCCAGCCCTGAAGTCAACTATTTCTCCAGAGATCTCTGGTTCCTTGTATTGGAAGATGGTATCTAGACGCCAAGATCTGGGAGTTACTTGTGCTTACTGGTATAGGGGTACCATTGTTTCTGGACACTCTCAGCAGAGAGAAATAGAAAATATGTAAGATAACACATAGACACACTAATACAGACAATAACTATTTTGGGGTCTCTGTACATATATATCAAAACACATGAGTTCATACCTCCTCCAAGTCCAGTCCAACACATGAGGGTTCTTTCTGGACTCTCCCTTTCCATGCTTGTAATATCTTCTCCAACAGCAAGAAACCTGGCTTTCATTATATCCTCAGTGTATGTGTTTATTTGCTGATAGACTGGGCTGAGGAGTCTGCCTGACACCTCAGGTAGGCCTTTCACCGCCTCCTCCATGGTGGGGGGGTGGGGGGGAGAATGATCTCTGTGGAACTCTTAAAGGGAGGGACTAAAGAGCTCCCAGTCAAGTAAGAGATTTCTGTCATGATCTGAGCAAGAAAGGGCCAAGTCTTTTCTGATTCTTTTGGTTGCATAGCACAGAAACCCACTCAGGTGGCTCAGATAAAGAATATGGTTGTGTCACCAAAGGAGCATCTTAGAAAAGGTCGGAGTCTTGGTGAGTTTGGGCAGAGTCCTGGTTAGTAGGATGAAAGGAAGAGAGGCAAAGTGTGATCCCACGGTCTGCAACGAAACCTGTGTAGAGCTGATAGGGAAGGGGATGCAACAGGAGGGGTAGAAGAGCTGGACCGGATAGTGATAAGGCCCAGGCTTAGGCGAGAGGAGACGTGAAGCAAAGCAGAAAACATTCAACTGAAACAGACGGCAGCTCTTTTCTCTGAAACTTTATAGTTTTTTACTAGATCACTCACAATGATGTTCTTCTTTCCTCTGAAAGCAGTGCCTTTCATTGAATAAATGCCGGCACAGAAGGTAAGGAAGGAGGTAACATGAAGAGCTTGCAGGAGACTGAGGGGTTTAAAAAAACACTAGCAAAAACCTAAGAGCCAAGCTGGGCCTGTTATTAGGCTCTGTACAGCGTGAGATGAGTTCTGCCTTGCTGGTATGCTTAAGTGCAGGGAAGTGGCCAGAAGTTCCAGGGGTCACGAAGGCAGCCGAGACTGGGAGGCTGATTGGTGTGCAACATGGACACTTCTCTTCAGTGTACTTTATTTACATCGCTAGGCTGCTCAGGTCAAACACTCTACTGCAGATGTGCAAGATTTTTTACGTGGCTGGTGTCCACTCAGATCTTTATAGAACGTGATTCTCCGGCTCTTTAGAGGAAAAACCACAGAACAGAAAGGCTCATGCCCCTTCCTGTGTTAACAAGGTAATTGTCTTGAGTTTGTTACTTAGTCTTAAGACTTGCCATTAGAACATTTAGCTGTTGCGGAGGAAAAGGTTTGAGACTTGCCATTTAATATATTTACAACTTAATGTAATATGGTGAAGAGCAAGAAAAGAGGGGGCGCCTGGGTGGCTCAGTGGTTAAGCGTCTGCCTTCTGCTCGGGTCATGATCCCGGGGTCCTGGGATCGAGCCCCGCATCGGGCTCCTTGCTCAGCGGGAAGCCTGCTTCTCCCCCCCCCCACCTCCGGTTGTGTTCCCTCTCTGTCTCTGTCAAATAAAATCTTAAAAAAAAAAAAAAGAGCAAGAAAAAGAAAACCTCTTCCCTTGCTTGAGGTTTAGTGTCCTTGCCCAAAGTTGAGCGTTCTAGACCCTAGAGCGATGTCTCTGACATGAGATATATTTCTCTACCTCCACGGCCACACACACATATATGCATAATCACGTACAGACCTGAACACAAGGGAGGAAGGGAGGTACTGTTTATTCATTCAGGGGCTAGCCTGGAGATACGACGGTAAACCACACGGTTGTTGCCCTCACGGAACTTAAAGCCTAGTTGGACCGTTCATAAGACGTTGGCAATGCCATCAGTGCATGCCAACGCCTCCCCCACCCAAAAAGCTCCCGCTAGCATCCAGTCCTTGCTCATCTGTTTTGCTAACAGCGCCGTGATGGCAGCTGGGTCTGCAGCTGGCAGGCGTCTTCACCTCACCGGCTTTTACTCTGCACGGCAGTCTGCGGAGTGTCACCGTTCTGTCCCGAAGACGCCAGGCTTTGTCCCTGCAGCTGTCACCGCCACTGAGTTGTTACTCCAGGACCCCTGCGACACGGCAGGGAAGCACTCGGTGACACGAGGGGCACGCGCCAAGCGAGAGCTTAAGAACAGAGCGCGCGGAGTCCCCGGCCTTCCCGAAGACGATCGAGGCGCCCGGGAACGAGGCCCTGCAGAGTAAGAAGGGGAAACCAGCTCCACTGTGACACACCGGGCTCAAGCGCCCTTGGAAGCTCAACTGGGACTTGCCCCGACTGAGCTTACGGGGAAACGAGGTGGTCACGGGGCGTGACGTCCTCCCAGAAGCCGCTCGCAAGCAGGGAGGCGGCCGGCACGAACAGCTTCCAAAGCAGCTGCGTCGCACCCCTCGGAGGCGCCCCCCGCTCCGCACGCGGGAAGCCGGCCGGCCGCCTGTCTCCGCGCCCGGGGACCGCCGGGCGACTCCAGACAGAAAGCGTCCTGCGCTGCGGCCGGACCGGCACCCCCAGGACTGCGACTCGTTCGCGAGCACTCAGGACTGCGTCCGGTTTCCTAACATCTCGGAGCTTACCGAACAGGAAGTGCCTGAAAGTGGGCAACTGGAACACCCACGCTGCAACGGGCACTTCCCGTCCCACACGGGCCTCCCGGGAAGCACGCCCCCGCCCCCGGCAGGCCGCGGCCGCGCGCGAGCCGGAGCCGGAGCCGGAGCCGGAGCCCGCCGCGCGCGGTGACGTCACCCGCCCCTGCGGAAGCGTAGGGCAGTCAGGCCCGCTCACGCAGCGAAGGTACGCGCTCTAGACGCAGGGCCGCGCCCCGCCCCGCCTTCCCCACGTGACGACGCGCCGCGCCGCCTTGGCGGCGCCGCGCACGCGCTCTTTCATGTCGGCCCCACCCACGCCCGCCCCCGACGGCGCCGCCTGCCCCGGCGATGAGGTAGCGGTCCGGCCCCGCCCGCCCGCCCGCCCACCCGCCCACCGTGACTACGTGGCTCGGGTCCAGGGCCGCGCCGGGCCGCCGGAGTGGCGCCCCACCCCGCGCGGTGACGTTCACGCCGATCCCGCGCTTACTCCCGCCTCCAGAGGTGTTCGCGCGATGGCGTCACCCAACAGCCCCCGCCCACCCCCCCCGTCGCGAACCAGGCCCAGGGCCGCGCCCGGCCTCCGCCCCGCCCACCCTGCGTGCTGACGCCGCACGGCGCCCGCGACCAAGCGCGGGCGGGCCCTAGCGCCGGCGCGGTCCCCTCAGAGGGGCGCTGTGCGCGGGCTGGGCGCTCGCGGCCGGGTGCGGACGCGAACGCTGCGCGATGAGCGGCGCGGAGGACCGTGGCCCCGCGGCCGGCGCTGCCCCCGCCGAGCCCCCGGGCGCGGTGCTGAGCGTGGATGTAGCGGGGCTGCTGGCGCAGCTGGCGCGCAGCTTCGCGCTGCTGCTGCCGGTGTACGCCCTCGGCTACCTGGGCCTGAGCTTCAGCTGGGTGCTGCTGGCGCTCGGGCTGCTCGTGTGGTGCCGGAGGAGCCGCGGCCTCAAGGCGACCCGCCTGTGTCGCGCGCTGGCGCTGCTGGAGGACGAGGAGCGCGCCGTGCGCCTGGGGGTGCGCGCCTGCGACCTGCCGGCCTGGGTGAGTGCGGGTCCCCGCCCGCGCCGGGGGCCGCCCCGCCGTCGGTTCCCGCGGGCCCCGCGCTCCCCGCCCCTCACCTGTCAGGTGTCCCCCACGCCCGCCGCGGGAACGGCGCCTGCCCTGCCCCCGCCGCAGGCCCGCGCGGAACCGCACGGCTGGGAGGCGCGCTGCGGCCTCGGCCCCGCAGCCCGGGCCGGGGCTTTTCCTCTGGGCGCGCTGGCCGGGACTCGCGCCCCTGGAATGTGCCCTGGGAGGCGGCGGCGGGCTCTGCTCGCAGCGCCAGAGCCGCCCGCTGCCGCCGGCCCGGTGCCGCCGGCCCTGCCCGGGCCTGGAGGCCGTCGGCGCTCGCTCGGCTTCCCGGGGAAGGGGGCGGGCGGGCTTTCCCTCTGACAGCCGGTGGGGGGAGAAGTTAGAGCCGCGTCCTCCGCAGGCGCGGTCATGCCTGCGCGGCGTGTGCAACTGAGCAGGGAGGCTCCCCCGGAAGGCCCGAAGGCAACGTCCGTATGGGGTGAACGCGGGTGCGGGGTGGATTCGGGAGGAGAGGGTCGGAACTTCTTTAGAAGAGTTGCGCGGACAGCAGGAGTCGTGATACCGATTACGTTGCTTTTAGCCCGGGCAGTTGTCTGCACCGCTTACTGCTGCAGCGAGGAAATGAGCGCAGTCGGTTTCCTCCTCTTTTTCTGCTCAGTCCCTAACTCTTTCTTAACCAGGAGTTGCTGTCACAGCTTCAGATTACAGGAAGTGTGCTCATTTTTAGATAAATGATGTTCCCGTTGGGCTTGCTGTAAACGTGGTGTGAAAATGGCCAGCCAGCGGGCTTCCCCAGGGTCATCTTCTCTTAGAGGAGGAAAGGGCTTGGAGAGCGATCGCAGTTTCCAGTCGTCAGACGCTTGTGAAGTCAGGCGTGGGGTGTAGGACACAGGAGGCAGACAAACGGGTTGGGACGCGGGGGTACCCAAGGCCAACAGGAACCTGATGGTACCACCTTGCGATGGCAAAGACCCGTGTTACTCTCGTAATGAAACCAGTGAATCACTCCGTCTAGAAGTGTGCGTACAACAGTAGGAGCGGACTTGTAGAGGAAGAGTTAGGGTTTCTGTATCAGTAGTACTTGGACTTTTATTCTACAGACTGGTTTTGGGAGTTCTGAACTTTGGGGTGGTATCTTGCTGTGAATAAGGTAGATTTGTACCTGTTTTCACGATGTGTCATTGACAGCTATGATTCGTCGCAGGGTGGAAGCATAGGAAAACATGAACCAGTGTGGTAGTCACTTCCTAACCCCGCTTGTGGATATGTTCCTGACAGTTATTAATAACAATTTATGCTGCGTATGGAAAACGAGATAATATTACTACGTTGAGAAAAAATATATATCGTTTTGAATTAAGGCTACTACGACATGAAAAATGGTTCTCACTTAACCATGTGATAGTTCTATCAGAACTTGGTCCTGTAGCTTTTATATAAGCCATATTATTATCCATTCTTCACTCTTTTTTCCCCATAAACAGGGAAAAGGCCTGACAGGTTTGGGTTGCTGGATTAAGGACTGGCCTTTCGTCGTACCAATGTCTCTCTACCCCGTGTTAATTGGGCCCTGTAAAATTAGACCGTGGGTGAAGGAATATTCTTGAGTTTTTATAGAAATGAACAAGGACAATTTTCCACTGCTATTTTTATTTATTTGAAATATTAGAAGTTGGTATGGTGAAGTCTGCCGCTTTCCTGTCTTTGCGACTGCCAATAAATGCTGATTCTGTGGCTGCAAGTAAGTAGAGACCCAAATCTGTCACATACAGCACTTCATAACTGTTTTGACAGCTGGTCTTTTATTACTCTCATAGTTTGATGATTAAGATTTGAAGCAGTCAGCTTCCTTATGAGGCTGTTCTGTATTCGTATGTACAAGCTTTTCTTCAGGGAGAGTGTTCTTCCCATAGTTCTTCTGGGAAGTCCAGAAGATTTTATCTCTAGCCAAAATTGAGTATGTATAGGTGGAGAACCAAATGAACAAGAGAGAAGAATACACTTCGGTCTCATGTGAAGGAAGGGCAAATATTTGTTTTTAATTCTTAGCGTTAATCATTGAGTTACACTTTAAAACTTGGTGTAGACTTGTAACAAAGTAGTTCGTGTAGCTAAATCAGGAACCACGGTTTAGTTATTTTAAACTGTGGTTGCAACTTTAGCGCTTAGATCCTAGAGGGATTATATGCTTTGAGATGTTCAGAGACCTCCTCAGGGATGTGAAGGGGATGTGGATGCTGCTTTGGTTTTTTATATACCAGCGCTGCTGCTGCTGCTGCTGCTCTAATTCAAAGAGGAAGAGGACCGTAAACGTTGCATTGCTGAGTTACACAGTCTAAATGCTTCGTCATAAAGCATCATGTCTTTTAGTTTAAGTGGATTTAGAGTTAGGATATATGCATTCATCAACTTGTATACTCTGGTTTTAATAATACTTCTGTTTTAGATTAACGTTTGTCTCACTTCACATATCAAGACAAGGGAGTATAGAGCTAGGACTGAACTATAAGTAAACATATGAATTAGAAATATATTAAAATAATGTTACAGTAAATATAATTTATATAATATAGCTTTTGATCCTGCGAAGAACCAATTATGAAAAACTGACTAGTAATGCAGTGTTCTTGTTAGGCCTAGTGAATCTTACATCTTTTCTGTAGGTGTTCATGATCTCTACATTGGTCACAACATTTAACTTAGAATAATATCACAGACATTGTGAATATGCTAAAAACCATTGAATTGTACATTTTAAATGAGCAAACTGTATGGTATGCGCATTAAATCTCAATGGTGCTATTTAAAAGTATTATGGACATTGAATTTCTTTTAAAAATAAATGAAAAGGGTAGTTACAATACATAGGAAACCTAACATATGTCCTTGCTTATGGAATTCCAGCTAAAACTGTTAAAACTTTTAATTTTATTAAGCTTTTTAATTCTAGTATAGTTAATACACAGTGTTATATTATTCAGTGTACAACATAGTATAATACTGCTACAACTTTTAAAAATTATTGTTCCAGCTTAAATTTTAAGGTATTTACGTTTTAGGGAATATTTAATGAAAAGTGTGGGCTTATGAATGAAAACTAGCAAGGTAAATATTTTTACCTTAATCCTAATGTTACTGTAAACATTGATAACATAATGGCTAGCCGGATTCTAATAAATGAGAGAGAAATCACGCTTCAAAGATACAAACAGCTTACATGTGTATTTTTCTGTGAGTTATTAGAAACTCTTTCCTTTGATTCAAGGTATTGACACATATTTATGTATGTTTAAGAAATTTAGGGTATATATTGGTTTGTTTTATATTAGATTCATTTTATCATAGCATGATTTTTGAATGTATTGTTGTGGTCTTTTTTAATGTTTTTTCTAATCTTAAATTCAGTTAACATATAGTATATCATTAGTTTCAGATTCTTAGGGTCTTTTGCATTTTATTATGTTTTGTTAAGTCATCTGTTTTGGTTTCCATGACACAGTGCTGCCTCGGATGAAATTTCTTTCTCAGAATTTAAAGATCTGAGGAGCTACTATATGCAGAAGTAGAAGAGGTCATCCTGCCTTCATGTGTGTGCCATCTTTCAGGTAGATATAAGGCAGGATGTGATGCCCCCGTGCCATGGTGGTCAGAACAGAGGATGGGAGGTGGTTAGTGGAGAGGGGGTGCGTGTAGACACGTTTATGGACTTGAAGAATAGAAGGACATGGCATTATACTCTATGGGGACAGTAGGGTAAACATGCAGGAGCAGGAAGTCAGGCATATCCCGTGGTGGGACCATCACGGCGCACCTGGACTGTCTCCATCAGAGGGGAGCTGTATGGAAGGTGATGAACTGAGTCTCGGGGGTGAGGAGTAGATGTGCTCCATCCAGCTAGGGCCCGAGTTCTCAGGGCCGCTCTCCCAATTCACAGGGACCCTGTACTGAGCATAAGTATAAATACTGCTCTTAAGACTCACAGTGTTTCGGCATGGGAGGGAGGGGAGAGAGTGATGGATTCAGAATTAAACTTCTGAAATCAGAAAGTGGAAGCGCCTGTGCAGTGGAGTAGAGTTCTTCCTTCAGCTGCCAGAAA